AGAACAGCTCTTCTGAGGCTTGGAGGGGAATGGAAAAGGAGATTGGGTGTGCTGGAAGATGCAGGCAGGTATCAGACCATTGCAGTATGGTTATTGGAATGTGGGAGAGAGGCCAGGTCTGATCAGAGGGGGAAGCAGTCCTTCAGACAGAGACTTTGAAAAGACATTGGAAGGGAAAGAAAGAAACAAATACAAGCTTGACTTTATCAAGTGTTATTTGGGAAGGGGTTAAGTGACACGGTTGCCTCATAGAGGAATGATGAGCTGCTTTCCAGACCAGCGTGATGAGAGGATGTTAGACATCCAGCAAAAACACTTAAATCAGCAGTTGTAGGTAATTTGCACCCAGGAATCCTAAAATAATCAGCTGAAGAGATTGTTAGCCTGCTGTGTTTTGATTTAAATCTTTTTCTGAATACTGGATAAGTTTCAAAGGACTGGAAGAGTGCTAATAAAACACCACTGCTTAGAAATAAATGAGTAAGTTGGGTGAAGGCAGTTTGCTGTCAGTGTGGAGCAGAAGGATGAAAAGAGTGATTTGCAATGCATTTAATGGAGAGTGAGGAAAAAGGGAGTGTCATTTTTGTCATGTAAATGTGATTTAGTGAAGGATTAGTGGTATTGCACAACATGCTGCTGCAAAATTACAGCTCTGAAACAAGTAACTGATACTGATTGCTCAGTGGCTGTCAATGGAGGATTGTCACCCAGCAGAAGCATTGCTTTGGGGGCCTGTGACTTGTGTACCCAGTATTCCCATTGCTCATCTTGCTGCTGCAGGAAGGAGAGCTGCTCCTCCTGATGTCTTTGGGATGAGGAGGGATGGCTGGGTGAGACTTCCCACATCAGAAGTGTTCTCAAGTCAGGCTAGGCAACTTGAACATCCCTTTTGGCCTTAAATCTTTAAACACGATGCAAAGCAAATTGCTTCCCTTGTTATTATGGGAGAATGAACCAAAGGGCTGTGAAGACACCTACCAGGAAGGGAAAAGTCATGATAATGTGCTGAAGCCCAGGGGGAAGCCTAGCATTTCTCAGAACGTTCTCTGATTGCTCAGAGCAGAAGCTTCTTGCAGGTAGGGTTGGTTTTGCTGGAGGGAAGATGAATATGCTATGTGTAATGCTTGTCTGTGCTTACAGAGTGCTTCTACTGAGCTGTCAGCATCCATCTTGACTGCATGAGGCTATCAGATGTGTTCCTTGTTCTGCCTGCTGCTGGCAAGGAGGAAAGCAAACCAATGCATCTATGCTGACCAAACACCATGGCTTGTGTTGTGCAGGACCCAGGCTCTCAGCCTGGCAGGCATCACATAGTTCTCACCCTTGTTCTGCTGGGAGCCTGGGCTGCTAACTTGTCCCCTGTCAAGTTTGCTGTGCCTTGCAGGTATTGGAGGAGGCAGCTGACACCCTCCTTTGTACAATCTGATGCAAATCTTGTTGGATTTATGCCTTGAACAGGCAGGGGATGAGATTCTTTTCATCTCAGAGCTCTTTGTGAAGAGTGGGAATCGGGCAAGCAGAAGTCTGCAGGTTGGTAGCTACGGGGCAGGGGTTGCCAGTTGCCATGTCTGCAAATTAAATAGCTGGGAGACTCCAAGCAAGAGAAAGCTTCTTAATGTTGGAGCTTTATCTTATGACCGTCTCCTTGCAGAGACTGAAGGGTGGGAGTGACTTTGTTTGCAGGCAAACACTCTCACAGAGCGCGGCTGGGTCTCCAATCTTGGGAGGTGCAGCTGGTAGCAAACACCTCGCCTTGAAAAGAGGAATTGTGAGAGTGAAACGACCAGGGGGTTGTTTTCAGCTCCCTTTTTGGCCTTGAGGTTTTAAATCAGAAAAAGTAGAAAGCGAAAAGCGGTGAAAGCTGAATTGGTGCAAACCTGGGAGAAGCAACCACCAGCGAGCAAAGGGAAATGCTTTAAAATGCTTGGAGCAGGAGGTGGTGATGAGGCTGAGCTCTGTGCCAGGAGGAGTGCTTCCTGTCTGAAGAAATGAAGGCTGTGACACAGCTGTTGGACAGCAGGGTTGGAAGGGGATGGCAAAGGGGCAGGTCTCCAAGAACAGCAGAGAACCCCAAAGACATTGCAGCTGTGTTGAAGTCCTTTGAGCTGTCAGACCGATCCTTTAAGGGCAGAGAAGAAAGGAGAGAGCTGGGGTGGCAGTGAAACACAGAGCTGTGAGATAAGATGCATCTGAGTGCCTGTGTCTGTATCAATAAATGATTGTGGTAATGAGATCCGACACAGCACATGGCTGTGGAGCTGAGTCCCATGCCGTGCTGCTAGCTCTGCTGCCCTCCAGCTCTCTGTGCTCCCTGTTGGTGCAGCCCTGGCTGCTGTGCTGCATCCCCACCCCGAAGCTCCCCTGCTCCTGCAGCAGTGGCTTTGTCATTCAGCACTATGCAGAATGCCCAGGGAATGCTGTTTCCCCACTCAGCCTCTAGCTACTGCCATCTCTCAGCTGTGCTCAGACAAGGGGCTGTGAACAGGGAAGCTTAACACCTTAACCCTGTTAATTTGTGGTGAATGCAGCCTGAGCTGTCTCTGTGCTGGAACAGATGGGCAGGTACAGCTGTGCCCGCTGGCTGTGTGCATGAGAGCAGTCATGGTGTGAAACACTTCAGATGCAGATCCAAGGATTTCAGGTAGCTGTTCCCTTAAGAATTTGCACGCTTTTCTTTCTGTTGGAGTTTGGCTTGCTTATACACTGAGCTCTGGTGACTCCAGCCTTTTGCTGGTTTTTAGGAGAGAAAGCGAGGAAGGAGGGATCATGCCTTCATGCCAAGAGGGATCTTCCCTTCGTGCTCCTAGGTAAAGACATGAGGATTGCTTTGAACCAGCTATGGATTCAGAGCCTGAATTTGTACATTTAGAAACCCACAATGGCTCCCTGCACCCAGCACTGGGTGTAAGCCTCCCTTATCTCACCACTTTGCCTTTTCTCAGCTTGCGTGAGTTCAAAGGCATCCCAAGAAGCTGTGCATAGGGACTGAGTGCAGCTGGAAATGCTGAGCTTTTTGCTGGCAGTTGGAAGGGCAGCCGCCGTCCAGCCCTGCAGCAGCCATCCAGCCTTTCCACACCAACCCATATAGGTGACTCTTGTGACAAACTGCCTTTGCACAGAGGCTGGGGTTCCCCTGGTCACGTTTCTCACTCTACCCTGTGGCTTAGCGCTGGGTTTCATCACCGTGCTATGAAACTGAAATCTCATTTCCAGCCAGCTTTGCAAATGAGGAGGCAGAACGAATTTGTTGTGCTGGGGGGGAGGCCTGACTTCAGACGGTTGCTTCAGACCTCATCTGTGTTGTGCTTTCATTGTGATCTGTCTGATAGAGCCTCCTCAGCAGCAGTGGGTGGCAGGGAGCAAAATTCAGAGGGCAGCTGTGCGAGGAATGAGCTGGAGATGCAGTGTTACATTGAGCCGTGCTGGTTCATGGTTATCATGCTGCTGCTGATGTGAAGTTGGAAGGAGTGACTGCCACACCTGACAGCTGTGCTGCCATTCAGTGAGACCTAGATGGGCTGGAGGGGAACCTCATGAGGTTCAGCAAGAGCAGGTGTAAAGCGCTATGGCTGGGGAGGGGGAAATAAGAAGTTATTTCAGCTTATGGGGAAAAGAAAGATACGCAGTGCTGTGGGACATGCAGGCTTGTGGTGGGAAGAACAGCCACTGCTTGGCGTGAATATTGTTGCCAAATGTCTCTGTAGTATTTCAGGATGTGCTTATAAACCTTGCAGATAAAATACAAACAAGAATGAGGAGGATGTAGGCTGAACGTGTGTGTGTACAGAGTGTGAGGAGATGAAAGGGATGAGAAAGTGAAAGAAGGCACTTCCCACACCTTGAAATAACATTGGCTGAGTGTGGCGTAGCACGAGCTCACAGCAAGAAGCCACTGCACGCTGCCCTTGCTTTCCTTCAGCAGAGCTCTTCATTGAACAAGCAATGGCTGCACAAGTGATGGGAAGTTAGGATGGGCTTCGGAAAATCTAAAGCCTGCATTCAAACAGGGAGAGTAAACTGAATGGGATATTGATGGTAGGAATGACCTTTTGTTTTTAGAAAGGCTGAACCGTTTCTCTTGCACTTCCGACAGGAGCTGAACCTGAACAGCTCCATTCACCGATGAGCCCAAAGCAAACCAAGTCTGACTCCACTCCCAGTGTTGTCTGTTCTTTTTTACCCAGGTTGCAGAACAGAATTTTAAAGCTTTTATATTGCCTTCCCTATAGCAATGTACTGTGTAATGCATGGGTAGATGTTTGCCACCGAATAAACTTTGTTCAGCAGTTGAATGGAATTGGTTCATCAGTGGGAGGCCAAACAGAACTCATTATTGTTAATGCTCAGTACTTGTCTGGGTAATAATAGAGCTAGTAGCATGACTGGTGAGCTGCTAGTGGAGTATGGATGGTGCAAAATGTGCTTCTTTGCTGTGCTGTTTGGGAGAAATCTGGTTATGTTACAGCACAGAGTTTCAGGGGCTGAAATCAGACCCATTGCAGTGCTGAGCACTCTCTGATTTCTGTCAGTTTGTTTTGCAGCCTGTTAAAATGGCCACAAGGTACTTGTGGGCTCTCCTGAGGGTACTGCTGGCTCTCCCCTGCCTTGCCTGGTGGCCCCATCTCTCAGCTCATCTTTTATTGCGAGGTTTCAGTGCGGAGGTGGGGTGAGGTTCCTGAGCTCTGTCACTGATTGCAGCCCGTTGTTTTCTCCCTGAATTGATGCAGTTGCTCAGTGATAAGGGGAATATCAAAGCTGAATGGTGTGATTGCCTCTGAGGGAAGGATTTGATTCTCCTTGCCAGTTCTAACGTTTATCACTCTATTTGGACAGGCGAAATGGAGGAAAAAGGAAGGCAGGCTTAATTTCAAGGTGTCCTAATTGAGCCATTCAGGCCGTGTGTTGCTGCCTGCCATGGGGAGGGTTCCTGTGCTGGGCTCCTGTTTGCTCCATGGTATTTCCAGGGGCTGAGGCTGACACATAACTTCTCATCCTTCCAGAATAAGAACAGTGGCGAACCTGAGGCCAAGCAGTTCAAAGAAGACGAGGAAGAGGAGAATGTCAGGCACAGGTAATTATTTATTTATTCTGACTTCTCTCTCGTATATTGTTCAGGTACAGCCCACCTGTTTGCTGATTAGGATCTTCAAAAATGCAGTTTTTGTTTCGTTTTGGTGTGAATAACTTGCTGCAAATAGTCTGGGATAGGGGAATGAAGAGAATGCTCTGGCTGGCTTACAGCAGGGTGTTGCAAGGGCATGGTGATGTTGTGTCAGAAACACCTGGAAGACAGATGCAGTTCAGATTCCCCTCAGTTGGAGAGCCATTTCCAGGATCCAGTCCAAGTCCCCTGAATATCTCTAGAGAAGGAGACTCTACCACCACTGTTCTACCATCTACCACCACTCTACTACCATCCTGTTCCAGGGCTCTGTCATCCTCAAAGTAAAGAAGTTCTTCCTCATGTTTGTGTGGAACTTTCTGTGTTCTACTTTGTGCCCATTGTCCCTTGTCCTGTTGGTGGGCAGCACTGAAAAAAGCCTGGTCCCATCCTCTTGGCCTCCACGCTTCAGATGCTGATAAGCATGATCAGATCCCCCCCACTCAGCCTTCTCTTTTCCAGGCTGAACGGTTCAGGGCTCTCAGCCTTTCCCCACCAGGCAATGCTCCAGGCCCCCCCTGTCTCTGCAGCCCTCCACTGTGCTCCCCCCAGCAGTTCCTTGTCTGCCTGGAACCAGGGAGCTCAACACTGGGCCCACTGCTCCAGATGTGGCTTCACCAGTGCAGAGCAGAGGGGAGAAGCACCTCCCTCACCCTGCTGCCATGCTTCTGTGCAAGGCACTCCAGGCCTTCTGGGCCATCACAGCACACTGCTGGTCAACCAGAACACCCAGCTCCTTCACAACAGAGCTCCTTTCTAGCAGCTCAGCTCCTAACGTGTACTGATGTGTCTCGTTATTCCTCCCTAGCCATAGGACTCCACACTTGCCCTTGTTGAACCTCATCAGGTTCCTCTCTGCCCAACTCTCAGCCTGCCCAGGATTCTCTGTATGGCAGCACAGGCACACTGCTGTGCTTTCTGTCACTTACACATGCGTGGTTTGGAAAGTGCACTTTTTTTTTTCTGTGAACAGAGACCTGTGGGCTTTGCAATGTGCACATGGCTGTTTAATTGCAGCTCACTGCTGTTCCTTCTTGTCACTGGAAAATGTGAGCACAAAGCCAACCCAGGCAGGGTGCTGCTCCTGTCGGAACCAGCTGACTGCGCTTGGTTTCCTGTTTCTACTGATGCTATCAGGTCGGCTCTGGAGACAACAGGGGGGTGAGGTTTGCTTAAAACTTTTGGGATGTAGGTTTTCCTCATTGCTGTTTTTCATCACAGCATCTGTTTGTGCATGAGAGCTGCTGCTGTGGGGAAAAAGTGGAGTAGAATCTATTCCCCTGCTTGAGGGGATAACTCTCAGCAGAAGCTGCAAGCTTTCTCCAAACTGCCAGCATCCATTTTCTTTTTGGGAGAGAACAAAACTCTGGATTGATCATTGAAGCTGAGCTTTTACCGTTGGCACACCTGGAGGGTTTTGTGCTGGAAGGTCTAGGCTGTAAGAGGTGTTAAAGATCTTGGAAACGATGATGAATAATGAATCATCAGCTCTTGCTTTCCAGCCCTGCCACTTGATATGCTGCATGGCTCTCTGCTGGGGAGCACCAAGCTAGCAGTGACACTCCTGCATCCAAGCTGGAAGTGTGAATTGGTCACTGAAGTCCCAACAGTAATCCTTTTCTCCACTGGGACTGATTTTTAGCATGGAGGATGCTTCTTTTTAACCACTGCTGAGCATCCTGAAGCATATCAGAGGTGATGCAGTGTCATCCCAAATCTTCAGCATCACTGCTGCCAAGCTGGGAGGTCATTTCCTCTAACATGTGCACACTGGTGAGCTCTCCTCTTGCAGCAAAGCCTTCTTCTGCCTGTGGGAGATGCCCTGAAGCTTCAGTGAGGTTATAGAGATTGGAGATTGTTGGGTATGAACCTTCTATTTCCAGTCAGCCTTGTACCATGCCATGATGCAGATGTGGGTGCAGGGCATCCACAATATGTGGGAATAACACCTTTAGGGAGGGCAGCAACTTTTGGGGCAAAAAGTTCCCTTTCCAGCTCAATTTCTCCTCAGGAGCCTGCAGCTCTATCCAACTGCTGTGTGTTTTGTCAGGATCTCAACATCTATTTGCAAGGTAAATGAGAGCAAGATCTGCTTTGCAGGAAATGTTTGAATCACAAATTTGGCTGAGACAATTCTTAGGTTTACAACTGAACTCCATCCCATCTAGGGACTTTGTTGCTTTCTGCTGTCCTTGTTGAATGCTCTTTCTCTCTTGCTGAAATTGGATGTGTGTTTTTAAGCAGAATGCCAGCAAGCTGCTAACTTGATTTCATCTTAGATTTTCATTTCCTGGTAGCAAAGCTGAGCTTTCTCAACCCTTTGAAATAGGGAACTGCTCTGCACTAATGCCTTGTGTGCTGGTGATGAAAGGTAAGCTGAGCTAATGTGAGCAACAAAGGGCTCTGGTAGCTTGAGTGTACCTTCCCTGCTGGCTCTGCTGCTTTCTCAACCTGAAAACCACCACGCACACAAGGCCATTGAAACCCATAAGTAGTCTTGTGGCCCATATGTAGAGACTTGTAGAGACTATGTAGATGACCTGGAAGAGGTTTCTGACTTTCTTGAGGTCAGGAACAGCTCTGCCTGCTGCTTCACCTCTTTGCAGCTTGGCTTTAGGGCTGGTTTTCACCTAGCTGAGATGTTGGTGAAGGGCTGAGCCCATGTTGGGGACTGGACTTCACACCCTGCACTGCAGGCACGACCGAATATTTTCTTGCTGCCAATGCACCAAAACAGTTTTCAGCAGCTTCCTGTTGTTTTTTTCTGACCTGCTCAAAGCTCCCCACCCTTTTTTTTGTTCCTTGTTTTTATCTTTCACACTACAAGATACCACCGCAGGAACAAGTGCTGACGAGGCCCTCTGTGAAAAATGCAATCTGCTTGCAGCAATTTCAGCTCCGGATATCTCTCATCTGCCTCTCAGGGGAGCTTATATCTGTAATTGCTAAGAGCTTGGGTTATTATTATTATTTTTTTTAACCAGTTTTGCTCAACCCAGTGACCAGGAAATGCCTCCTGCTGTGGAGCAGCCTGCCATCAGCTTTGGCTGTTGCAGGGTGTGGATGGACTTCGGCCCTTCTGCCTGGTTCCTGCAGGAAAAATGAGCTGCTCTGCTCTGAGCTTTGAAGTTCAGCCACAGTTCTGCAAGCAGAGCTCGTCAGGGATGTTAAAAATGTCAATAAATAGGCAGGGTAGGGCTTGGAGAGGGAGGAGGAGACCCCAAAATCTTCTTTTTAACTAAAAACGAAGCTGCAGCAAACTGCAGTTAATCAGCTGCAGGTATTTCAATGCTCAGTCATCCTTTAAAATTACAACTCCATGTAGTGCTGCTTGCAGAGGTGAAGTGCTAGGAGGAGGAGGGGGAGGCAGGGCTGGGAAATGTGGGCTCTCCCACATAGGAGGAATGTCATGGGGCAGATCAATCCTTTTTTTGTTTTGTTTTTAAGGCTTTTTCTTCCAGTGTTGGCATAAAAAAAAATAATACAACAGTGAATGTGCTGGGCTTGGCCTGGCAGGGCAGCAAGGCGGGAGCATGGACAACCACTGTGCAGAGCTTCCATACATCCTGTGGTATGGAGAGATTAAAAAATAAGTGTATGGGTAAAAGCAGTTGTCTGTGTAGGCTAAGCTTGACATGTGTGTGACAATGTGGTGTTATTGATAGAAATCTGCATGAGCAGCCAAACCTGTGACTTGGGCTGATGTGGAAGCTGTATGGTGAGTCAGGCTGTGTTGTCACTCTGTGTCACTGAGGGATCAGGTGCTTCTCCTGCAGCAGGGAAGGGCAGGGGCCAGGGCTGGAGGTGGCCAGGGGTGAAGCTGGAGCCTCCCAGCTTCGATCATGCTGGAGGCTCATGCTCATGGGCTGGAGAAGGAGGAAGGGCAGAGCTGCAGAGTTCAGCACTGTTTCGAGGCCAACAAAAGGGATGTCAGCATCCTATAATCACCCAGGTGCTCCCAAAATACCTTCAGGACCTCTTTGTGACTTGAGCCTCAAGGATGGCAGATTGCTCCTGACCTTCCACCAGCTGAAGGAGCTGGAGAAGCCCCATAAAGTATGGACAAAGCTCTTGTGCCAGCTGCAGGGCCCATCACCAAGCTCCTGGTGCTGTGTCCTGTTCTGCAACTTTGAGTGTAGGCTTTCTCCTCATCACATTTACAAATATACAGCCTGGAAAATGCTCATGTGCCTCCTAAAGCTGCGTGGGAGGCCAGACAGCCCCGTGGCACCTGCCTGCATTTCAAGTGTTTTGCAGCTTTCTTCAATGCAGCACCCAGAGATACGGCCCCGAGAAGCACTTCCTGAGAAACCAGCTGTTGGGGGCTTGGAGAGAAGTGCTTGTTTTTTGGCATTCCTCGAGTGCCTCTCAGCAGCCACTCGAGGAGCAGGATGTGCTCCAACACGCTCAGCTATTTGAGCAGGAGCAGCACGCAAGGTGGGTGCTGGTGGGAGCCACTGCTCTCTGCCTCTGTTTGTTGCTTGTTCCTTTTCAGCCCCAAGTGAGGAATCCAGGGCTTCACACCGTTATCAAACAACAGCTTTGGACTTCTGTGTTGTGTCCTATGGAGATGCCTCGATCCTGCTGCAGGATGATTTAAGGGAGCCTTCACCAAATGCTTGGGGTGTGGAAATTACTTATTTGTTTCTAACTTGGAGGAGGTACAGATTGCCCTGCAGACTTCTAGAAAGGTCACCATGCATAAAGAGGCAGCCTGGAGATGTATGGATCTTGCTATGAGCTAGCCCAGCTGTAGGGAAGCTCCCAGGCAGGCTGCAGCAGGAGGGGATGCTCCCAGATATCCAGGAACAGATGTCAGAGCCATCTGCAGGAATGGAGAGTGTAAAAAAGAAGGGTCTGTGAAATGAAATCTGTACCAGGATGGATGAGTGCTGCACAGTAAGTCTCGCAGTGCTCCTGGAGGTTGATGATGCCGTGGCACAAGGAGCGGGGGATGGTCCCCTAAATCATCACTTCTTCAAGGCTTTGGGACCTCACCTGTGTCTTCTGTAGCAGTACCTTCACGACGTGTTCAAACAGTGCTTCTCAGGACCACCCAGCAGTAAGTGGAATTTGGAGAAGCTGAGAAATTAAATGAAATTCTTGCCGTGGTTGCTCTTGAAAGGACGAAATGGAAATTGTTGTCCAGGCTGTGTGGTCTCAAGCAAGTTGAAGTAGTTGTCAAAGAAGAGTAGAAGGCTTTGGAGCAGCTTGAGAAGGGCAAAGGTCAGCAATTTGTCTGACCATATGGTATTTCTCCAGGACTTCAGAAGAAAATAACTCAAACCAGCCAAGGTGGGGATGGAGCACCTCCCTAAACTGCTTCCAAAGACTGAAAAGTCTCTTTTTGGGGATCTGGGTGTTAAGAGTGGCTTCTTTTTTGATGGTGGGTTGGCTGCAGCAGAGGAAGCATCCTCACCAGTGGCTGGTCATCAGCATGCGTGTGCTTCACTGCCAGACTGAAGAAGTCCTCTTATCAGTTAAAAACAGTGTTTGCTCCATAAAGCCCTTGAGGCTGAAGGAGTAAAGCAGAAATAACTTCGAAGTTAGCTTTGAGTGTCCTGCTTTGCAGTGAGATAAGTCTTTGCATTCTACACATAACCTGCGTGCTTTGCCACTTCTACCACTCCTGCTTCAAAGAAAGGCTGATGTCCTTCCTTCTTCCCAGGACTGATCATAGTATCATCAAGGCTGGAAAAGACCTCTGAGATCACCAAGTCCAACCCCAGCTCACCCCTCTGCCCGCTGACCACATCCCTCAGTGCCATCTCCATGGTTCTTGAATACCTCTGAGGATGGTAACTCTATCACCTCCCTGGGCAGCTGTGCCATTGCATCACTACTCTTTCAGAGAGGAAACTGTTCCTAGTATCCAGCCTGAGCCTTCTGGCACAATGTGGGACCATCACCTCTCATCCTATCGCTGTTACCTGGGAGCAGAGGCCAACCCCCACCTCACCACAACCTCCTCTCAGTTGCAGAGAGTGATGAAGTCTCCCCTGGACCTCCTCTTCTCCTCACTGAACAACCTCAGCTCTCTCAGCCACTCCCCACCACACTTGTCCCATTATGAACCACAATGGGAAGCAGATTTGAGGCATTCCTGAGTCTGAAACAGGGAACCTGCCACCACTGTTGGGCTTCAGTGAGGCACCGAAAGGTTTGTGCATCACTTCCCTTTGCAAACCCTGCAGTTCCCCTGAAGCTTGTGATGTCCCAGCAGCTTGGTGCTTGCTGGTCCTGAGTGAGGATGCAGGATGCTGTGTTTCCTACGTGGGGTGCTGTGTTCTTTCTTAGCCAAGCCATTACTGCTGGAGCGTCGCATCCTACAAGCTGTTCTTGCTAACCTGGCTGCTGTGTGCTCGTTCTGCACAGAGCCTGTTGTTAACTCTGTTTTCTTTGTTGTCGTGGGAACTTTGATAATTTGAGAAGCATGCTGGGCTGTCTCTGTGGAACGCAGCGCTGGAAGAACTGCTGACACCTGAACTTTATTTAACCCACTCTGTGGAAGGCCAGCAACGTCTCCTTAAATATGTGTTTTTAACCCCTGCCTTCCTTCCTTCAGATTGTTAGGGGTGTAGCACTGCTAGCTCCTCATCCATCTGCTCGTTTTCAGAGATGCAGAGAAAATGGCAGAGACCACAGTGAAATGGGGAGACCAAGGCAACAGCTTCTGCTGCTGGGGAGCACAGCACTGCTGGGTTCACTCATGCCAAAACCCCCAGGGAGCAACCACGGGCGTTCTGGGTACCAGCAATTACTGGAGGCAGGTGTGAGAGCTTCTCCTGCATCGTGCATTTAATTAAAGGGATCAATCTGTGTTTGTTTTTTTGCTCCTGCAATTGGGCATGGCTTTAATAAGGATCTGAAAGCACCAGGGGAAACTTGGAGGGTGCGGGGTGGATCTGGGTGCAGCACTTCTGCTCTTCATCCCTGCGAGCGGCTGCTTCCCTTCTGCTCTGCTGCTGTTGCCAAGTTGTGCATTATGCTTTTTTTTCCTCCCCTTTTTATAATCTCATGGATAAATCTCAAGTGAGCACGAGCAGTACTGGGCAGCGAGGCTTTGGTGTGGCTGAGCAGCCGCCAGAATGTGTCCTAAATGGTGGGTGTGAAATATCTCCTCTCAAGGTGTAGTGCTGAGCTGAGAACAGCTAGCTCAGCTCCTAGCTCTTTTGTTTTAGGCTCTCCGGCCTTAGGGGAGGCTGTCTTTGGTTCCCATTCAGCTGCAAGGAAATCCTTCTGTACGTGAGCTAAAACAAGCAGAAAGTGTGGGAGAGGTTGCAGGTTTGCTTTCGGCAGGCTCTGATGTTGTCACTTGGGATGATAAATCCTCCCCACTGAGCAGGAGGCAGCCCGTGGCCAGATGGCCAACATCACTGCCTGACATCCATCACCTCCAGGGTGAGTTAGCTGCTTCTCTCCCTCCTTACCAACTCAGTCCTGCTGATTGGAGCCTGTAAAACCAAGGAATAACGAGGATTTCTGCGTGCTGCTCCATCACCCAAGATCATAGAATGTCTTCAGGGACGGGGCATCTACCACCTCACTGGACAACCTGTTTCAGTGCCTCACCGCTCCTACTATAAAAACCCTTTCCTTATATCCAGTCTCAATCCTCCTCTTTTAGTTTGAAACCATTTCCTGTCATCCCATCAAAGCAGATCAGCAGTCAGAGGCCTTACTGACATCCAAATGGATGACATCAGTGGCTCTTCCTTGTCCAGTGAAGCAGTTGTGCATCATAGAAGACCGTTAGGCCTTCTGTCAGAGTTCCCAAAAAGAGCCACCATGCTGGCTGGGGAGTGACAACAGTCCAGGTTAGTGTAATAAATGCCTTCTCCCAGGGCAGTTTTACATAAAAATACCCATAAAATTGCACAATGCAGGGCAACTGCTTCCTCCTTCCTTTCAACAGTGCTGTGGAAACGTGGGCTATTGTGGCTTATGTTGATGTGGAGGATTGGGCAACCAGAGCTTGACACTTGAGGAATTTCTGCAATGTCCTAACCTGCCTGGTCCTGCTTCCCACTGTGCTGGTTGCATTTCTCTGAGTTACATCTTGCAGAGGGACTGCCAGAACAGAATGTGAGGTGTTGGGGGGCAGACACCAGAGAAACAACTATACTTGTGTTGGACTTGATGGTCTTTGTGGGTCCATCCCAACAAAGAATATTCTATGAGTGGGCCAGGGGAGGTTCAGGTTGGATATTAGGAACAATTTCTTTTCCAAAGGAGTGTGGTCAGGTGTTGGCATAGGCTGCCCAAGGAGGTGGTGGGGTCACCATCCCTGGGGCTGTCCATGGAACGTGGAAATGGGGCTCAGTGGGCATGGAGGGCTGGGCTGGGGTTGGACTGGGGGATCTGAGAGCTCTTTTCCAACCTTAATGATTTTATGATTCTATGAAACCGTGGCAAAGCCAAATTTGCAGAGGGCTCAGCTGCACGAACCCACTACTGTGAGCAACCCATAAAATCCACATCCAACCACCTCTGTGGGTCAGACCCTTTGCATGTAGGTGGAGCTTGTAGGGTGCTGGCAAGCAGGGTTTGCTCAGTGCAGGATGCTGGAAAGGTGTTGAGATGAGATGAATGTCACTGCAGAGCTCAACAGTAACACCTGGCAAGGTAGGAATGAGGCAGAAAGAAAACCAAGATGTTGCCTCTGGGTATGGTGGCAGAGCAAATGACAAAGGTTTGCCCTTTGTGGAAACTTGTAGGGTGTGCAGCTTAAATCCATGCATTTGTGTGTTCTGAAACAGCTCTGTTAAATGTCAGTCACCTCAGGCACCAACCTTGAATGATATTTCAACAAAGAACAAGCAAATACCTTGTTGTTTCTCCATGCATATAGTCTAGCAGAGAAGTGACCCAGGTGAAAAAAGAACAGCCTTTAGAAGGGGCAGAAATAGTATCTGAATATGGGGGGGGTGTATACATTGAGGAAATGGTTGTGTTGTGTTTTGTGCAGTCTGGGGGGAGCTTGTAGGTCACCATCACTTCCACAGAAACCTGCATTCCCCCTTTTGCAGCTCCTTTGCCCTAGCTGTGGTGTGACCAGAAGCATCTCTAGTGAACTGTTAACATCTACCCAGGAATATTATTTGGTCCCCTCCTTCCCATATTGGGATTTCTGTGGCTGGTCTCTGGCTAGCATGCACAGGTCTCATTACTCTATGCTTCCTTCCCAGGGAGCTTATACTGCGAAACTATGACCCTGAAGATGAGGAGCTGAAGAAGAGGAAATTGCCCCCGGCCAAGCCAGCCTCAGGTGAGTGAGAGTGGGAACCTGGGAGTGGAAATGAGGGAAGAGCAGAGCAACAGCACTTGCCGTGATGATGCTGATGCCTCAGCAGGGATGAGAGCATGCAGAGCGCCTTGCATGTGTGCACTGCAGAGGTGCACTTTAATGCTCCATAGAGATGCAGACATTCAAGATCAAGCAGGACAGGGCTCTGAGCAGTCTCATCTAGTTGTAGGAGTTCCTGTTGGCTGCAGAGAAGTTGAACTAGATGACCTTGAAAGGTCCCTTCTAACTCAAGTGTTTCTATGGTCTGATCCTATCCCACTCCTGAGCATTCCTCCCACCAGCACTCATGGTGCTGTGGGCATATAAAACAGCATAGTGCTCTCTATCCAGCCAGCCTGTTGCCAAATGAATGAATTACACCTTTCCTTTCCAAAATCAGGTATCTGGGAAACCTCTGTGCTCCTGGGGTGTAACTCCAGCCCCAGGTTGAAGAGTCACCAGGATGTATTCTGGTTGCAGCTGTTGACTTCAGATTCTGGGAGATGTGTCTGCATGCCCAAGCCATGTTGGGAGTGAGAGTGGTGCTTGCAGGCTCCGTTGCTTCATCATCCCCGTGGGGTTGCACACCCTGCAATTGCACAAGTGGGGTGTGTGTCTGAGCACACACAGTCCAGCCCAAATGAGAAGGCAGATGCTCGGAAGAGCCAGGCTCTCACTGCACGATTCTCAAGGAGATTGGGGCTGTTTTGTTTGAATTACCTTTAAACAAATATTAGTCATGAGTCTAAGGACGTTCAGTCTGTTGTTTCCTAGCACTGAACTGCTGCACAAAGGGAGGCAAAGGGTAGGAGTTCCCTTGATCTTGAGATATTAAGTCCTCCTGGAATATATCTCTTTAAAAATGCCCTAAATAAAAAGACTGTCTTTGGCAGTGATCTGCTAGGTAGGAATGCTGACACTGCGCTTTCTTTATCCTTTTGTTAAAGTTTCAAACTTCTTCAGCTCTTCCCCTGTGTGTGGGTTGGAATTGGAACAGCAGTTGTGACTCTTTCCAGTAAAACCCATGTTCTCTGCCAGCCTGTTTGAGGCTGTAGTGCTGCTCCTGTGTCTGGAGTAACCCTGGGCATTTTGGGCAGGGAGGAGGACAGGAAACAGGTGCCAAAGTGGGTTCATATTGCCTATCCATCGGGCTGATGCTGGAAGCAGGATTTTGTTCATTCCTGATGGAAGTGCCCTATCCTTGGTGGCCACACTGTCACCTTGCACAGAGCTGGAACTGATGGATGGAGGGCTGTTCCCAGTGCATACTTTGCCATTAGCTCCCCAGTATCTGGAGTCATTTGTGTAAGGGCTGGGCTGGAGCTTGGTCACTTCTGGGGCATGGTTTCATACCATGGCCTCATAAATGAATCATAGTGAGTCAAATTGCAACTTAAAGTCCTATGGACATGCAAAGTGGCGGGTGGATGCAGCCCTTGCCAACATGGGATTTGAACCCAATAGACTTCCTGCTGCTGTTTATTATGTTTAATTTTTAGTTTTACATTGTTTTCAGATAGTTTTTATAAGTCTCTAGAGTTTGGGTGGTGAAGGAATGTGTGTGCCCACGTGGATTCACATGTAGGTACTGTATTGTTAAAAGTGATGCTGTTCAAATTGGGCTTTTGTAAAAGCTTTTCCAAGGGCTCTGGTGGGTCTCCCCATGCCTTGTCCCCTTGGTGTCCCGTTGTGCTGATGCTGATCCTGTTTCTCCATCTAGTGGAAGACAAGGTGAAGGACCAGCTGGAGGCAGCTAAGCCAGAGACCATCATCGACGAAGTGGTACGTATGGAGAGCTGCTCTGTGCTGGACACACGTCTCTGTTGCTTCCAGCTCTCACTGGATGTCTCCTCTTCCTCCCTAGGATCTAACAAACCTGGCCCCCAGGAAGCCAGACTGGTGAGTGTCTGCTGAGCTTTGCTCCTGGGAAAGGAGTGTTTGCATCACCTGTGTGTTGCCATTCCCTGGAAGTTGTCCAAATTGGGCTAGAAGTGCGAGAAATGGGAAACCTGTTGGGAAACACGTGGCATGGGACTGTTCTCTCCTTTCTTTGCTTATATCATGTGGTTCTGCCAGTCCCTTTGAGGTACTTATCAGCAAGGTGGCTTCAGTGCCAGAATCATCATGTTGGTTTGCCCATGAGCTGCGTTGTTTTGCTCTGCTCCATGATGTTCATAGGAGAGCAAAGGAGTTTCTTTCCTGCTAGGAGGGGAGCAACTTGGCTGTGTTCACAACTGGTCATGGATGTGTTCTGATGTCATCATTTTCCTTCCTAGGGATTTAAAACGAGACGTAGCCAAGAAGATGGAGAAGCTGGAAAAGAGGACTCAGAGAGCCATTGCTGAACTGATCCGTGCGTGGTGGTACCAGGGGGATGGAGTATGGGGTCACCAATTGTCCTGGAGGGATGACACACCAACAGTCTTTGTTGGGAGCTCAGAGCCTTACTGTTGGGCAGGGAGGGGTAGTGAAGCTTCATTCCCTTCCCAGGGGAGAAGGTTTGCATGATAAGGAAGAATGGTTTGCAGGCATAAGGGCTTCAGTTCAGCTTTTCTACCAATACAGAGGGCAAATTGCTGAGTAACTGCTGTTTCTCACTTGCAGGAGAGCGCTTGAAAGGGCAGGAGGAGGAGTTGGCAGCAGCTGTTGGGTCAGCAAAGCAGGATGGAAGCGACTCGGACTGATGTGCTCCATCTGGGCATGGGCTCTACCAGCAACACTGATCCCATCACTGCCAGGTAGAGGAGCCTTGCTGCTGACCAGCATTTTGCCAGGAGCCCATGAGTCCTGGAGGAAAGGGGCAGATCTGAGGAGCAGTGCTTCCCTCTGTGAGGCTGTGGCTGGTGGATGAAGCATGTTTCACAGACCACTTTTTAGGACTACAGAGGGTTGAGTGGGACAGACATCCAGTTTGCCTTGAACTTGGCAGGGGCAGGGAAGATGTGAGCGAAAGGGCCAAGTGCAAGAGAAACATCCAGGAAACTCTCCTCTCACTTTCTTGGTTAATAGATCCTCACACAGCCTACAGCATTCCCTAGGGGCCCTGCTTTTTGTCAGGGTGCTCCTTTCTGCAGAAAACTGATGTCACTGTTACATGAAACAACAGGGTCTGGAAAACATCTGCTCAATATTTTCCCCCATGGTCACAGCCAGTGTGTACAGAATGACTCCTGGAAGTGCTGTGTGCTCAGGACCTGTTGGCTGCTCTGTGTTGGGAGAAATGTCCACCTGAGAGGCTAACATGTGTTTTTTGTTTGCTGAAGCTTCCAGACCCTCCAGGCTGTGCAACGTGCACCATTCCTTTGGATGTTTTATAATTGACAAAGTTTGTTGTAACAAGTATTTTCATAATAAAATTATCCTGCCGTGGAGGAAGCTGTTGCTCGGTCTGTTTGCAGAGGTCTGTGCAGAGGCAGCTCACTTCATCTTCCTCGTATCTGTGGTGGCTTCAGACCATTTGCTGGTCCCTCTTTGCCCTGGGGATGGGGACCAGCTTCAGTTGGTGTAAGTTTGGGGTGGCTGAGCTGTACTTTTTGCTCCTAGAACTCCTGGGTCTGAGCTGTGCTGTGGATCCTGCACCTCTGGATGACACCAGGCCCATGTTGTTGTCTCTTGGCAGCGGGGGGCTTGGACGTGTTGCAGGTTGGGTGCCCAACAAAGTGGGTTCCCAAGCTGTCCTGCATTTGGTTGGAAAGCATTTTTTGCCTTGAGGTGGAACAGCCTTGATGGCAGTATTTAAAGAAGAATTAACCTGTGATAAAAATAGCTGTCCCTGCTAATGCATGCATCCTGCTGCTTTTAAAAGCCTGCTGGGGGGAGAGGTTAATGTGGCTTAATGTGGCTCCTGGCCTAAGTGGGCAACAGCAGCAGCCTGTGAGAGATGGGGGTTGCATTTCTTACCACGATTGTTGTGGGTTAAACCAGGCCCCTACACATGACAAGGTGCATCCAGATGGATGGACAAGTGAGCCTAACAAGGAGACAAATGTTGTGCCCAGAGCATGCAGTGAGATCTGTACACCCCTGGACCAGAAGGCACCCAGTGATCTCCAACGTTGGTGTGTGGTTGTGGGCTCCCTCTGGGCTCTGTGGTAGAAAAGCACCTGGGATGAAAGCCCAACCACCTTCCCATAGGATGCTCTTAGGTCATTTTTATTGCTTTGTCCCATTCTTGGCAGGAGACAGCGCCAATGCCTTTCATGCTTCTGCCCAGACTCTTTCTGGCCAGGAATCCCACAAGGTTTCCACCACTGTGAAGGTGCTGCTTAGTCATGTCAGGTGAACAGCTGCAAGGAGAATTTGGACAATGCTCTCAGACCTAAGGTTTGGAATGGTTCTGTGTGGAGCCAGAGGTTGGACTCGATGGTCCTTAAGGATCCCTTCCAGCTCTGGATATTCTGTAATTATATGGAAAATGGGAGTGGATACGCTGATGTGGGGCCATGCTTGGCGTGGGACAGAGCATGTGATGATGCTTCTTGGAGCATGACCTGCTTGAAAATGAACAGAACCCACCAACTTATGACAGGGATGGCTTCTCCATTCTCAAAGCAGAGCTGTCTGCGATGCTCGTGACCTTCCCTGCTGATAAACAAGATGAGTGTTTAATGGTAGCTCCACCATCTGTGTGCATTTGTGGTTATCGGTTACCGTGGCCAACATGTATTTGTGATGTGCAGTAGCTCACTGGGGAGGAAACGGGAGCGTGATCCCACGTCCCCCATGGAGCCACAGCCTCTTCCCTATGAGATGCCCTGTAGATGTCAGCAAATCTCCATGCACAGAGCTGCACTGCATCCCAGCTGTTTCCAGCTGCTGGACTGTGTGCATAGGATCCAGTGGCGCATGCTTTGCCACACACATCCAAGGACCTGGAAACAGAAACAGGGGACAGCCCTCTGCTTTGCAGTGCTTAGAGCAGAAGAATTTTGCCTCGTTGACTTTAAAGGGATATAAATTCCCATTAAGCTCTGGGCAAACCTGTGCACTGTATGATGGCAGAAGTGCCCTTTTTGCTCTTCCCCTGCAGGAGGAAGAGCTCATTTGAAGTAGTTATTTCCCCCCTGCAACAAAATGAAAGCAATTAAAACCTGCTTTTCAGGTCAAAGCCATTCTCCCAAAAGTTGTTTTCTCTTTCAGCTTTCAGTGAAAATGACATTTGGAATTGAAAATTCAAAACCTTTTCTTCTAGGAAAAGACAAAAGAAAGCATTTTCACTTTGACTTTCTGCTTCTATTCCCAGCTCAAAGGATGCAAGGATCAAGCCCAGACTCCTGGGCTGGGATGAGCGAGAGGCTGGATCCCAACTGGACCATGTGAATCATGGACACCAAACCTGCACGTGGGAGCTGGGACCTCATCCCACTGCTGGAGACAGTGGCTCTTTGAAGGCCTGTGCAGCCATGCTGCATTGCTTCTGCCTTCCTCAGGCTTGAGCACGTCCTGTCCTCAGTCAGTCCTTCCCAAATGGGTCGGGATCTGCTGTTTCAGCAAGAGAAAACTACACAACCCTGACCTCCTTTGGGGTGGGAGTGCTGCAGCTTGTAGCAATTTCATCAAATAACTGCAGGCTGAGGTTCAGGAGCCCAATTTCTTAAAGAAGAAGAAAGCGAAGAAGTGAGCCCCAGGAGTTTTGCTTCATTTTTAGTGACAGTTTGGTCTCTTTCTATAAAAGCAGAAAATTGACCAGTGTAGCTCTTGGAGTCAGGTGGCATCCATCTCAGCATCTGCCTGTGACTGGCCTGGAGGGAAACAGGCTTTCTGAACTGGGGATGCTGAAAGAAAGAAAAAAAGCTTTCTTAGCATCCCATAGCTGGAGTTGAACACATCTGTTAATGTAATGAAATTCAGCCACCCAGGCACTCCCTGCTAGCAAGCTATCTCAATTACGACTTAATATCCTATAGGCCATATATCTTTCTATATATTCATGAAAAACAAAGGACTAAGCCCTGAATACAGATGGAGCTGGGGGGAGGCATCATGAGAGAGGGGCTTTTTGGAGGCTGCTCCTCACAGCCCAATGCTGGTGTGAACGTTGGCAGCCTGCAGTGGTTGGGTGCTCCCCCAGTGCCAGCCCAAAGCGAAGATCCCTTGCTGGGTGTCCATCCTGGGGGGTCCTAATTCTCCATGAGTTTTACTTGTTCTTGCAGGGAATTGTGTTTTGCGAGTTGTTTGTTTTTTTTCCCCCCAAGATGGATTTTTGACCATTAAAGTTGGCCACGCTGGAAGATGCCTCAGTGATCATTTGTAGTTTCTGGTCTGTGTAGTTTCTTGGTCTGTGTATGTATATATTTGTGTTAGTTACACGTATGTTTGCTCTTGTTTTTTGCAGGAATTTTATTAGTGTTAGTAGCAGGCACAGGTCTCAGGACAAGACTTGGACCTTGAGCTTGCAGAGGCTTGGGCTTGTTGTGTTCTGTGAACTTGATGGAATCATAGGATTTCCTAGAATCAGAATGGATTGGAAGTTCTAACACCCTTAGCAATCTGTCTCTTCTCACTCCAGCCCCACTCCTTCTATCTGCTTTGGTTTTGGGTTACGTCTGCCCCTGTTTCTCTTTTGGCCCCTTCTTGTGATCTTGGTTGATCCACAAGGACTCAATGCATCTTCCCACCAGCACGCCTTAGGCAGTGCATGTGGGGATGTTAGGAGGCACAGGGAGTCCCACCATGTGCAACCAGCAAAGCCCTCATTGGGAGAGCTCTTCTGGTGGTTTGTATCCCAGAACATGATCCCACTACACAGCTTGAACCTACATGGTTTTCCACTTGGTGACTTCTGTCTCCCGCCTTGCTCCATGAAGGTCTTAGAGGTTAAATTTTCATGCAAGAAGGTTCAAGGCATGATTTTGAGATGTAGTTTGGAGGAGACCATGCCTCTGATCAGCAGGTGAGAGCTTCCATCCTGCTTATGGACCCATCCCCTGTACAACCCAAGTCCAGAAGTGTTGCCTGCAGAAAGCAGCCTTGTGGCCAAGGTCTGGAGATGACTGTGCGCTCTGAGACCAAACGCCTTGCACCTTCCTTTACAGTATGCACCAAAATGTGCAAAATTCAGTGCTTCCAGGACATGACATTGCCATAGGTAGATCATACCGTAACCTGAACGTGCCCTGCAGTGTACACTGCTGTAGGAACATCTCCCAGAGAGGTGGTGTTACTCAGAACATTGCATTTGGTGTCCCGTGCACTGGCCGTGCTGTGCAAAACTCAGGATTTGCTGTGAAAATTTGCCTGTGAAGTGCTTGTGGCTTGTGGATGTCACATTTCTGCCCTATTCTTTCAGCAGGAGCCTCTTTGCAAATAAACTGTGAATATTTCTGGGCAGATTTTCAAATGAGACTGGGATCCTTCAGAAGCAGTCAGCTTTCATGGCTGAATAATAGAAGTCGGTAGGAAACGGGGTTTTCTTCCTGTTTTGTGGGAAATCTCATGATTTTGGATTCTTTTCCCCAAACCAAACCAAATTCAAAGCTCTCCGCAAGACAGAATAAAATTAAACAATCATATTGGGCCAATCAAAATGCCGTTCTGAAGCTGAGTTGTGCTCTCTGTGATCTGCCAGTGCCAGAATCCATCTCTATCAAACGCTTAGTTTGGTTTTTGCTTCTTCCAGGAGCAATTCGGCCACATTATGGGAGTGCTGGAGAAGCTGTGATTTCAGACCCAAGGAATGTTATTTCTTTTTACTGAAGAGTGCTCAGACCTCTCTCTGAGCAAGCTCAGCTCAGCTGAGCTCTGAAATGACTGTATCCTTGTGAGCTGCAGTTTTCCCAAGTTGGTGCAGACACTGAATACTGGATTCATCCCATCCTACTGCAGCCCTTTCCCTATGGTGAGCTCCCTGGGGCTGCAGTGATCCTCTGAGCTTTGGGCTGGGCTGTTCTCATTGCATTTGTGGTCTTTCCCAGTGTCCAGAGTAAACCAGTCCATGGTGGAGGCAGAGCTTCTGCTGCTGGGTGGTGCACAGGTTCACTCTGGACATGGGGAACGTGGAAGGGGAGAAGGGATTACATAGCAACCAACGCAAGCAGTATGGTACGTCAATGGAGTTAAGCATGAATTATAGTAGAATCATAGACCCATAGTCATAAAATTGTAGAATTTGAGTTGGAAGGACACTTTAATATCATTTGGTTCCAGTCCTACCATGGTCAGGAGCACCTCCCACCAGACCAAGTTGCCCCACATCCCATCCAGCCTGACATTTTTATGCTGTATCTGGCCTGTCCAAGGTTACAGATCCCTGTGAGAAGATGCTCTGCACTCTAATGGAGATCAGCCCCAGATACTTGCCCTGGGTGACCACTTCCACTGTGAGATGGGGATCTGCTTTTTCAGGTTATGAATATAGGAACTAGCAAATTAGGAGCCCTGAGCACCTGGCTGTTGGTATCTGCTGGTCAGAAGATGGACCTTCCCACCTCAGACAATCTAGGATTCTGTGCTTTATGGGGAATCCTAGCAGCACCAGGAGGTGAAAACCATCAATGTACCCCTATGCCGGTTGATGCACATATTGCTTTTTTTTTTAATGTCTCCTTATTTCTTGGAAGTAATATTTCTTTTTCCTTCATCACTGGGGAGCAAAGTACCCCTTGGGGTAAGGGCACACCGTATATCAAATATTACTCTTCCCAATGGGGTGTTTTTCCTTAGATAATTAAGCAGTCCATGGCAGATTTATTGTGCTATGGATAGCCTGGTACCATGTATATTTTTTTCCTTCCAGGTTACAAGCTCTGCCTCAAAATCATTCTAAAGGTTGCTGCAGACTGGGAAACTTAATTCTTGCTCCCATACACCCTATGAAACAGGAAAGAAAAAGTGATTCTCTCTATAGTGTTATCCACCCTCCCATATTCTATGTCTTACACACAGAAGTATGTCTACTAGATCCCAGTTTGGGGCTGTATTGGTGGAATGGGACTAAGGTTGCTAAACCAGGACAAGTTCTGCTGTACACATGAGGTCTGGCTGGCCAACAGCATCCCTTTTTCCTGCTACTCCACTTGTGGCTGTGCCTGAGAGGGAAAGTGGGTGGTTCATCACCCACCTTGGCCAGTGCAGAATGGCTCATTGGGTGTGAAGAGAAGGATGGCCAAAGCCTTGGGACAGCATGGCATGAACCACAAGGATGTCTTCCCTGGAGGACCCAAGGAATGACCTGTTGAGTGCCCCACACACTTTAGCAGCATCACTGCCCCATCTATGTAATTAAGTGCATCTTGATTTAGTAACCACGCAGTGGCTTGGGAAGTGAATTTAGCTAAATCAAATTAAGCCACTTCAGTTCTGAATAAGAACATCCTCGCAGGGTCTTAATGCAGTTTAACTGATATGCTGCGTACGTTAACTCAGATTAATTTTCCCCAGTGTCTCTGGGTAGATGAGCCTTCAGAACCAAAGAGGCCTGAATTTGTTTTAGGCTAATTTATTTTAGGAATGAGTTACATAAATCAAATTATGGCTCCTTGGACTCATGGGTGGGAGCAGTGGGTTGACGTGGTTTGGACTGGATCTCTTTGAGAGCAGACCTTGAGCTCATTTCCTCTAACTCTTGGACACAGGTATTCCTGAGGTCAACTTTTGAATTTCTACTCAGGACAGGGCCCGAAAAATTGGGGAAAGCTCTTCCATCCGCTGCTGTGATTGAAGACATCTGGGAATCTGCAGGCATTGCTGTGAAGAATGGAAACCATCATGGTTGAGTTCTGGGTTCATGGGGAGGGTTGGCAAACAAGGAAATAAATATGAATTTTGGTAATGTTGGGGAATTTGAGGATGTGAAGAGGGAGGTCAGGAAATGGTGGAGGTGAATCATCTGGCTACAGGAGAGTCATGGCCCTCCTGATGTGCCATCTAAGAAGATGATGATGGTAATGATGATGATGGCATTCAGAGAGGACAGTATCTGTACAGAGGATCCACTAGGGCCGTCCTCTGGCCCCATCCACAGCCAGACCATAAAGCCTCAGCACTTCTCATTGGGACTCAGAGGTGAAGTCCGGAATAAGATGGATGCTCAGGCTGATCATGGATGAGGTTGTGTGCATTGGGGCACATCTGCATGGAGTCAGCTGGGCTTCATGGTCCTGGTTTTTCCCCCAGAGGGTGGTGAGGCACTGGAACAGGTTGCCCAAGGAGGCTGTGGATGCCCCATCCCTGCAGGCATTCAAGGCCAGGCTGGATGTGGCTCTGGGCAGCCTGGGCTGCTGGTTGGTGACCCTGCACACAGCAGGGGGTTGGAACTGGATGAGCATTGTGCTCCTTTCCAACCCAGGCCATCCTATGGTTCTGTGATTCTGTGATTCTGTGATTCTGTGATTCTATGAAAGAGTGTGGCTCAGCCCCATTGCCTGGCCTGTCAGTTATAGTCAGCTGAAATGTGACTAGGGGAGAAGTGTTGGCCATGAGATGCAGTTGGACTGGATCCAAGGAGTTATATTTAAGCTGCTGAGATTTTAAGTGGGATTTTGCCAACACTTAGCTTATACGTGCACGGTAATTCAGCAAAATGCAGAAGGATATGAAAAACAAAACAAAACAAAGCATTTTAAAGCTTGCTCTTTCTGCTCATGTTTTGCTTGGCTGCTCTTTCACCCTGATGCATAGCTGGTTAATAGCACAGCTTGCTCTGCAGCCCTGCAGGCAGCTGGAGGTGGCGCATCAGTGCAGCAGGGAGGAGGAGCAGCAGGTTGGGTGCATCTGCTGGGGATGCCCTAATTGATGTGGAAGTGCTCCCTGCTACAGGGAGAGCCATGTGCTGGGAAATTCTCTTGTACACCTTCCATGCGGGTGAATTCAGCTAACAAGCTCTGGGGCACACTGTCTGCCTATAGGTATATTTATCTATCTCAAACCCATCTATAAATGAATACAAAAAGTGAGTGCACGGAAGATGCAGGAGAGGTGTATGTATTTGTTGGTTGCATTCCAGCAGCCCCCTTGCAGCAGTTTGGCATCCCAGTCATTTGTAGCAAGGTTAAGGAACAAGATGCAATGTTTGGTTGGAGGAAAGGCTTTCCTGGCCACAAAGAGCTGGTGCAAAAATCAACTTCCACAGCACAGTTAGAGAAACCCTTTATAAGGATCATCTTTCTGCACAGGGTTTGGAGTCTAGATAGATAGTAGGGTTTGGTCTTGCTGCTCCAGATGCTGGGGAGGCTTTGGGAGCTTTCCCTCACCACGGCAATGTGGGCCCAAGA